ATCTGCGATTGGAGCTGATGTTGAGAGCCTAGAGAGTGCACTAGGGCTTGCAGGGTCCTGTGGACCTGGGCCACGGCGGCGTCATTGTTGCGGGGGGATCCAGGGCCCGCGGCGGCGGCTGATGTGGCGGCGGCGCTTGCGGCATGGCGAGAAGCGCTCGCGGTAGCCTCGACGGGAGCGGCTCCTGTCGAAGGCGTGGCCGGGTGCGACCCGGTGGCGGCCATTTTCGGCCTTTCCTCTTCCTCATGCTCGTTGACCAAGCAATCGAGAGCGTCGGGTTCGGCATGATCTTCTTCGTGCTGGAAGTCGCGCGTGAGGTCGGTGTGAGCCTCAAAATTTCTGGTGGCAGCAGCGCGAGCAGCGCTTTGCACAGCGCCACGGCTACGAGTGACTCGCTGGTCAACAGGAGTATGCATAACACTAAATGGCATGGTGGCGATGATCAAGGGAGGGGAAAGGTACAACAACAACAAAAAAAGAACAAGCAAGGAAGCAAGCAAACAAACAAAAAAGTATGACAATTTTGCACTGTCTCGAAACAAAGAGAACAAAGAGGGTTTTGATGATTTTGAAACGTTTTCACAATACAAGCAGAAGACACAGGGAGGAAGCAGGAGGGAAACGAAGCAGCTGGAAAGCGCAAGGCAGGGTAACGAAAGAGAGGTTGGAAGAGTACACAACCGAGGCCCATAACCTATTAAAGGTGTATGTCCAGTACAGTGTAATGTGTGTGGACAAGGCGATTGTCACAGAGGTATCCAACCAATCGAAGTGCATACGAGAACATGGATTGAAGCAAGGCGAAGGAACAAGACAGAACAAGACAGAAGGAGGGAAGTGGAACGACCGAGGTCAAGAAGGAAAATGGTACCGATCCAGGGAGATCGCTCCCATTTATAGCAGGTGGAAACACACACACACAGTGGAGACAGAGAATGGACTATCACACTGAAGACAGGTGGAAGCGATATCAGCAATCTGTTGGGACCAACAGATGCCACAACAAGATGATACACCAAGATGTACAGCAAGATGTTACA